AGACCACCCTATGGCAGTCTTATGAGTTTTTAGAACTTCAACCAGCTTCTTTTCTTGGTCAGAAGATAGTCCCTTATTGATGATTACAGGGTATGTCTCTTCATCTCCCAAGAATACATATTTCAAAGTATTAGGCAGAATTTTCAATTCAACCTTAGGTGCCCCAACCTCTATGTCATCAACTTTTTCTTTAAGCACCTCCACAGCAACTTCCTTTTTTTTAAAGGGCACATGATCACAGGCTCTCAACTCATAATCAATCTCTTGAGGACGCACCTTCTTCTGTTGAACTATTTCTTGAAAAACATCAATTTGAGAACAATCACTATGCTCATCGGGTCTTTTCATAGCCTCAGAAACATTATAAGTAATCTCCTCATTATTCATCCTCAACTTAATCATTCCTTGCTCAACATCTATTAGAGCACGGGCTGTAGCCAAAAAGGGCCTACCTAAGAGCAAAGGCTTCCCACTTCCTTCCTCCATATCCAACACCACAAAGTTAGCAAGAAAGATAAACTTGTCAACCTTGACAAGGACATCTTCTATAATCCCATTAGGTGTCCTCACGGATCTATTATCAAGTTAAAGAGAGACCGTTGTAGGCTTCAATTCTTCAATCCCCAAAGACTTATAAACAGAAAGAGGCATCAAGTTGATACTAGCCCCAAGATCACAAAGAGCTCTACCATTGCAAATATTGCCAATGGCAATAGGGATATTAAAACTCCCCGGATCACTAAGCTTAGCCGGAATCTTCTGCTGAATAAAGGCACTACACTTCTTAGTAAGTGTCACTGTCTGGCATTCCTGTAGCTTATGCTTCCTTGACAAAAGATCCTTCATGAATTTTGAATAACCAGGCATACTTGCCAAAGCTTCTGCAAAAGGGATGTTTATGTGCAGCTTCTTGAAGATGTCTAAAAACCTGCCATACTGTTTGTTATAAGCCTCTTTCTTGAACCTCTCTGGGTAAGGTGCTTTAGACCGCACATATTCAGGACTCAGCTCATGCTTTTTCTCAACCACAACAGGTCGCTCTTCAACCTTTTCTTTTTCAGTAACAATTTCTTTGTTTTTTTCTTTCACAATTACCTCAACCTCTGGCTCAACTGCTCCATCATGCTTCTCGTCCTCTTCCGCACAATCTATAATTGGAGTTTTAAGAGGCGCTACCACTTTGCCACTTCTAGTAATAATAGCCATGCAGTCTTCCTTTGGATTGATAACTGTATTACTTGGAAATGTACCTGGAATTCTTTCTGAAACTTGCTTTGCCAATTGTCCTATCTGATTCTCCAGGTCTTGATGGAAGAATTTGTATTTTTGTTGTTGGCTCAAGTCTCCTCCATAAAGGTATTAGTGGTCTGAGCCATCTCATTAGAAGTCTTGGCCATTTGTGCAAAGGCTTTTTCCCACTCAGCAGGCTCTCGTTGTTGACTCTGTGAAGGCTGAATATAAGTATTAGATTTGAAATCCATGCCAACTCCCTGAGCTCTCCGCTGAAAATTGTTACCACCACCAGAAAAATTCTGATTTCTCTGAAGATTTGGCTGCTGAGGGCGCTGGTCATACCATATACCATTCACCTGCATTTGTTGAGGTGAATCAGAAGAAGCAAGAGAGGGACATTCATTAGGAGCATGATTGTCCGTACAGTAATCACAGACAATGGCAAAAGATTGAGCTTGAACTCCAGCAATCTGCATCTTGTCAAGCCTGGAAGTCAAACTAGCCATTTGTTGAGCTAGCAATTTATTTTCAGCCAGAACTGACTCATTACTTTCTAGATGAAGGCTACCTTTCTTAGACTTTGAAGATACCCCTTGATTTTCATTCCTGGCCATCCTCTCTATCAGCTCCAGAGTTTCATTCGCCCTCATGATTTTAATAGTACCCCCAGCTGCACCATTCAAAACCATTCTATCTTCAGGTGTGATGCCATTAAAAAATATTCTGACTTGATCACCAGCAGTCAAATTATAATGAGGGAACCTCCTCATCAAGTCCTTGTTGCACACAATGTTTCACCCTCAGTTTGAGTGAAGTTGGTGATATCATTCACCATTTGATTGTATCTCTCCATGGAAAAGAACTCCGCAAAGAACTTTGTAGACAAATCATTCCATGTAGCTATGCTCCGTGCAGGCTGCCTCTCCAGCCAGCTAAGTGCTTCTCCCTTTACAGCAAAAGAGAATAATCTCAACCGGATAGCATCATCAGACACCCGAGGGTGCTTGGTCGAGTCACAGATCATTAAGAACCGGTCTATAAACCTGTGAGGATCCTCATGCTCATCTCCTCCAAATTGAGTTCTCTCCACCAACTGAATTATGGAAGACTTCAACTCCCAATTATTGTCAGCAATATTCGGTTGGACAATACTTGAATTAGGCCTGTTGAAGGCTGGAGTGAGAATGGTATCCATGAGTGGATTTTCAGCTTCATTATTCGCTGCCATGGTTGGGATTTCAGGTGCTTCTTCAGATTGAGCACTTGGCACTTTTGATTTCTTCTGAGCAAGTCTTCTGTTTCTCCTTTCAGACCTTGTAATTTCAGGATCAAATAACAATTCTATAGGATCAACCTTGCCTCGCATAAAACTTCAAGAGAAGATTAGTAGCAATGTTCAAAACAAATTAAAACAAGAACAGAAGAAAATAAAATAAAATAATCACAAAAAGAAAGAAAAATCTTGAAATTCAAGATTATAAGATATAAGAAATCACAATCCCCGGCAACAGCGCCAAAAACTTGATACAAACCGGCAAGTGTACCGATCGTTCAAGTAATAAAGTGATAATTAAGTTATCGTCTCCACAGGGATTGTGAGCGAATATCTTATAAACGTCATTTCAAGATATAAAACCCAAGTGATTTGAAGAACAATAGAAATTAAAGACAAAGACGTATTTTTGGATTTTAAAAATAAGAGAATGATGCAAAATGATTTGGATAAAAATATGAGAGATATTGCAGGTAAGTACACTCGCCCTATGATCCCCTCTTTTTACTACGGATTGATTCACAATGCTCAATTAAAATAAACAATCAAACAATTTATCATCAAAACAATTATTAGCTAAACCCCAATTCCTTGCAAATTTAGCCCTTTAATCACAATTAAAACCCCAATTCCTTGCAATGTTTCAATTGAGATCAAGCATTACACAGATAAATTAAACGTTTGTAATCAAGAATGCGTCTATTCCTAGCACGCATGTTAATTATTATCCTACCCCTTTTCTGGACCAAAACCCCAATATTCCTATCTAGGGTTCTAACCCTCAGATTATCATTCAATACTAAACTGATCAGATTTAATATAAATGATAAGCAATACGCACAGAGTAGGAATAGATCAATTAAATTAAAGAGCGAAAAGTAAACCAATCCATAAATAAACAAAAGGTTCACATAGGGTTTGTGACCCTACCCACAATGAAGGAAACTAGCCAGACATGGTCATAGCTGAATTACAATGATTCATAAAAGAAGAATAATAGCTGAATTCCAAAGGAAGAGAAAATAATCTCCAAGATCAATCTCCGTTTAAAAGCTCCAGAAGTTCTTCGCAAGCTCTCCGTCTGTCTCCCTTGTCTTCTGATCCCCCCTCCTTTTATTTTGCTCGCACGCGTTCAAAACACGGTGTCTTCCTGCTCGAAAACCGGCGCTGATGGCGCCGTTCATACACTGAATTTGAATTAATCCGCGCTGATGGCGCCGATCATACTTCTTTCGCGCTGATGGCGCGAAATTTTCACTGAAAATGCATTTATTCCGCGCTGATAGCGCCGCACATCTGATCCAAATTTTCCTTCTGCGCAAATTCTCATTTTTCCATGCTAAATTCCTATCCAAATATAAACTTGAGTGAGAAATAACATTGAAAATGAATTGATAAGTATGCTCTTTTGACCTTAAAGCTTAGTATTTTAACCTGGAAAATCAACTATATTACAACCACATCAGCGGGTCGGGTCACGGGTTGACCCGCGGGTCAATACCTGTATTGCCACCCCTAGTTGCTATTTGGATACTTATTTTGTACCCCATAAAACAAAGTATAGCTGATGAACCTAGCTATCCTTAGCATCCTGCATCCATTTTTGCAACCCATCCATAATTATTTTGTTTGTAGCTTCAGCTTGCCCATTTGATTGGGGATGTTCCATAGATGCAAAGTGGTGATGAATTTTAAAATCCACCATTAGTTCTCGGAACCTCTTGTCAGTAAATTGAGTTCCATTGTCGATCACTATCTCGGCTGGTATTCTAAACCTGGAAAGAACATTTCTTTCAAAGAATTTTAAACTTTAGTCGAGGTTATAATAGTGACGGGTTCAGCTTCTATCCATTTTGTCAAGTAGTCTAAAGCTACAATCACCTTCAGCAGCTTTGAAAGGTCCTAGCAAATCCATTCCCCATATGTAAAAGGGCCATGGAGCCAAAATGTATTTTGGTTTTTCTGGAGGAGAAAATATCATTCTGGCATGCTTCTGACAGCTGCTACATTTCTTCACATGATTTTTTGAATCAACTTCCATAGTGGGCCAATAATACCCTGCCCGAAGAGCCTATCTGGCCAGGGCTTTAGCTCCCATGTGTTGGACGTTAATTACTTCACGTATCTTTGCTAGGACACACTTGGCTTCTTCCAAGTTCAAACACTTCACCATTGGAGAATGCAATGCTTTTTTATATAATTGATCCTCCACCACTGTATAAAATGTTGCATCTTGGATCAATTTCTTGGATTCCAATGAGTCTTCTAGTAGTGTTCCTTTTTCAAGGTAAGAAACAATTGGTTGTCTCCAATCTTCTGATGACGTGATCACCATCACGCAACTCGGCTCTACTATGCTCTGCTGAACTACGGTTCTGTGGTTACCCAGGTTCTTTGTGCTTGCCAATTTAGACAGGATATCGACGTTGTTGTTTTCTCCTCGAGGAATATGAGTAATCATCATTTCCTCAAACTCAGACATAATTTCTTTGACTCTATTCAAATATTTCATCAGCAGAGGACTTTTGGCTTGATATTTCCCGTCAATTTGTGAAGTGACGAGCTGGGAATCACTGAAAACTTTAACTTCTTTGGCCCCATGTTCTTTGACCTGCATTAGTTCAGCTATCAAGACTTCATACTTTGCTTGGTTATTTGAAGTTGAAAAATTCAAATGTAGGGTGTGTTCTGTTGAAATCCATTATGAACTTTCAACTATAATCCTGGCTCCACTCCCTTTATTATTTGATGAACCATCAACGCAAACCTTCCAAATGTCGTTCTTCTTAGTGCTTCCTCCATCATTTGGGTAAGCTCCATTATGAAGTCGGCTAAAGCTTGAGACTTAATGGCATGTCGAGTTTCATAAGTGATGTCATTCCCAGTTAGTCATCTTTCCAGCCAAATTCGGCTTGTGCAACTCTTGCCATATTAGTTGGTTAGTTCTAACTATTATTTGATGTCCTTGAAAATATGGTCGTAATCTTCTTGCCGTGGTGAGTAAGGCAAATGCCACTTTTTCTAGCTTTTGGTATCTCAGTTCAGGACCATGAAGAGTCATGCTAACAAAATATATCGGCTCTTGGCCTTTATGTATTTCTTTCACCAACACGACACATATCACCTCTTCTCCAATGGCCAAGTATAATATTAGGATTTCTTATGGTTTTGGTTTTGACAACACCAATTATGCTGCTAGGCATCTCTTTATTTTCTCAAACGTGGATTGACAATCCGAGTTCCATCCATGTTTAGCTTCTTTCTTCAATAACTTGAAAAATGGGAGAACATTCTCAGCCGACTTTGGTAAGAATCTAGTCAAGGCGGCCAGTCTGCCCGTCAGTTGCTGAACTTCCATTTTGCTTCTAGAGGCCTTCATGTTCAGCATTGCTTTGCATTTATCTGGATTCGCTTCAATCCCTCTGTAGGTTAGCATAAAACCCAAAAACTTTCCAGTCGGGACTCCAAATGCGCACTTAACCGGGTTCAACCGGATACGATGAGCTATGAGCTTCTGAAATGTCTGGTCCAGATCTCAAACATGCTTGCAAGATTTGTTGATTTTATAATTATGTCGTCTCTGTAGACTTCCACATTCTTGCCTAGTTGGTCTTCGAATACCTTGTTCAGCATCCTCTAATATGTGGCTCATGAATTTTTGAGCCCAAAAGGCATTACATTATAACAATAATTGACTTTT